TCAAACGAGACGATGAAGATTGCAAAGGCGGCACAGACAAATAGACCCCCGCCCGATTGTTGTGTTGGAGAGGAAGAAGATATAGGCCTTTATTGGGCCTTGTTTGGGCCTTAAATCAGGTTCATGTGTTTGCTTTTGTTTATACGAGTATTTTACGATTTGGATACTTTGATAGACAAAACACAAAAAAAAACAATCAAATTCAAAGTTTGTCTTTGATTTCATTTCCATGCCGTTTACAACATTTGATTGCAATTCCCCAGAAAATATAGCTCAGCAATTCCGGAATTGGTATCTATTTTTATTCAAACCATATATATTCCTACCCCAAAACTATCAAACCTACAATACAACCCCCAACATTTCACTACCAAATGGAAATGTCGTACATAAGTTAAGCTTACGACCATCATATCATTCGCAACAAGAAACCAGTTTTTTAGTTATAAAAATATGTTACAAACGGGACTAAGGTCATATTGCTTTTTAAAAGTAGATTACACCTCACAAGCAAATGTAATAGATAATAAACCGAGTCTTCCGCTTCGATTTCCGGTTCTTTTAGTAATTCGTCCGACCATCTCAATCTGTCATAACATCCTTGAAATTACTTCCACTAGGGATCCAAGGAAGCACATGTTCTTGACGAGAAACAATCACATCTAACAAGTAAGGACCCTACCCGGCGTAGTAAGCATCTTATGTATTGCACTTTTAAGCTCTTCTTTCTTCGACACTCTCTTTGCCGGTATGTTACTTTCTTTTGCGTAGCACAAAAAGTCCGGGAAGATCTCGTTTTCTTTTGACGGGTCTCCTAAAAACGTATGCGCTCTATTGCCTTTAGAGAATCTATCTTCCCATTGTAGTACCATACCAAGCTGCTGGTTGTTTAGTATAAGTATCTTCACAGGAAGATTTTCAGCTTTGATTGTGGCTAGCTCCTGAAGATTCATCATGACGCTCCCGTCACCGTCTATGTCCACAACAATGGAATTAGGGTTTGCAAGAACCGCTCCTATAGCTGCAGGTAATCCAAAACCCATGGCTCCAAGACCTCCTGAAGTCAGAAACTGTCTTGGTTTCTTGTATTTGTAAAACTGAGCAGCCCACATTTGATGTTGCCCTACTCCTGTCGTTATAATAGCATTCCCATTACTTAACTCATCAACAAGCTGGATTGCATATTGTGAAGGAATGATTTCTCCGAATGTTTTGAACTTTAATGGGAACTTGTCCTTTTTCTCCTTCAACTCCTTTCTCCAAACCTCGAAATCGAGCTCTTGATGATTCTCAAGAATCTTGTTCATCCCTTTAAGAGCCCACTTAATGTCTCCACAAAGAGATACATGAGGCGTCTTGTTGTTCCCAATCTCACCCGAGTCAATGTCGATGTGAACAATCTTAGCTCGACTAGCGAAACCCTCGAGCTTACCCGTGACACGATCATCAAACCTAACCCCGAAAGCAAGCAACAAATCACTTTCGTCAACAGCGTAATTTGCATACACTGTACAGTGCATTCCAAGCATCCCTAACGACAAATCATCGTTACACGGGTAAGCTCCAAGACCCATCAACGTACTAGCAACCGGGATTCTAGTAAGCTCCACAAATTTGATCAATTCGTCGCTCGAGCTCATACATCCACCACCAACATACAATACTGGCTTCCTAGACTCCGAAATTAGTCTAACGATTTTCTCTAGTTGAGATAAATCCGGCGGTTTAGGCATTCGAGATAAGTAACCAGTTAGCTTCATGGGTTGTTCCCAATCAGGAACTACGAGCTGTTGCTGAATATCCATTGGTACATCAATCAAAACGGGTCCGGGACGACCCGAAGTAGCTAGAAAGAAAGCTTCCTCTATAACCCTAGGGATATCCTCAACGTGCATCACAAGATAGTTATGTTTTGTGATCGTACGTGTTACTTCAACTATTGGCGTCTCTTGGAACGCACCTAAGCCGATCATATGGCGAGGGACTTGACCGGTTATTACAACGAGAGGGATGCTATCAAACAAAGCGTCTGCGAGACCGGTGACAAGGTTTGTGGCTCCAGGACCAGAGGTGGATATACAGACGCCAGATCTCCCGGAGGAGCGTGCGTAACCTTCCGCGGCGAAAATACCGCCTTGCTCGTGGCGAGGGAGGACGGTACGGATGGTGGAAGAGAGAGTGAGCGCATGGTGGATGGCTACAGAAGCACCGCCTGGATAGGCGAAGACAGTGTCTACACCGTGTCGTTCGAGGGCTTCAACAAGGATATCGGCGCCTCTGCGTGGCTCTTTAGGGCCATACCGGGAGACAAAGTCGTCTACTGTTTGAGTGGGGATCACTTGAGAAGCTTCTGAAGAGGAGTAAGGGTTGTTGCGTAAGTGGGAAGAGGGTTTCTTGGGAGTTAAGGAAAAGGAAGTGGAGAATATGGAAATGGGTAAAGAAGATCCTGAGGAGGAACGAGAAAGATTAGCGTAGAACGCTGTAGCGGTCGGGAAAGAGGCAGTCGTGGCCATGGAGCTTGCTTTAATGATGAGATGAGAGACTAGAAGGCGCAAATTGTGTGTGGTACTACAGAATGAGAGCAATGACTTCTTTTATACACACACATACTGTATGTACTAACAAGAAAACGGAATATTGTATTTGTATGTATAGGCAAATACTAAAGATACGACTTAGAGAGGCCATACTTTGCAAAAACATAGACATATATTATGGTAACAAAGAAAAGCCATTTAAACACAAAACTTTTGGGAAGGTCTCATACATTGCATTCATTTGTTCTCTGTAATATCATTTATGGCAAATTTTAATAAACCGGACCTTGCACACTGATTGGAGTTGAGATTTATAAGACCAAACATAAGATAGGCACTAAATAAGAATGTTCGGTAGACCATAATTTGGAGTTCGATCATTAGCTACTAAGGCTGAAACCGAAACTACTACTGTCTCGATGAAACATTTGTCATTGCTTGTTAAGATTTGAGAAAGTTTGACGAATTGGTAGGCATGTACTTGGGATTTGTTGCGTAATTAAGGCAAAACTTTTGTACAAGATATAAAATGAGTTGATTCCAAATTAATCAACAAAGAAAAAAGAGAGCAAAATCAAAAGAGACAGATAAACAAAAAGCTTGCTAGTCATGGGATTAAGACCATTCCACATGACCAATTCCAAACTTCAAAACATGTACGGAATATTTTATCA